TTCCTTCTAACCTGCCATATATATTTCTTTTTAATAGAACTGTATAAATACATATTTTTAGAAACGAATATTACGATTTCAAAACGTTTTACGTATTTTTAAGGGCATCTCTTTTCAACACATGACAAAAATGAAACTCTTCAAAGGATCACATTTTTACAGATCTCGCGAACTCTGTGAATTGAATGTCAAAGATCTCTGTAAAGTGTTGGTTCTTTACAGGTACAATAACAAGTCTTAAGGCTCGTTTATGCAGATTATACAAAACTGTATCTTCCTAAATCCCGCCGTTAATAGTTTTCAAGAAAATGTACATTTTGTGAATCTAAAAAATAAACCTTCTGAAACTATTCTAAATTAAACTTCCCATTTTCTATATGTAATATGTATATTTCGGTTTCTCTTAAATGGTCTTAAATTATTTTTCAATTTAAATTCTGAGGTTCTTATACGTTTCATTGAGTATATATTTGTCTGTCTCCAAGGTGGTTCAGGTATTATGAAAAAGGATTAAAGTAACTAAACAGAACAACAGTTATTTATAAATCTTCTAAGTAAATGGATTGGGATACACTCGACTTACTTTCAAGTCAGTCTTATTCATACGGATGTACCGTGATTCTTATACTAAGAAGCAAATAATCACATATTGTCAAAAATAGATAAATCTCAAGACAAGAAACTTGATAACCCGAACGTTTCGGAAGGAAGACTTTTCTCCTCCAAATGGAGTTATTTGAGTGATATTCGGTGACGTCATGAGTATCTATGGTAGTTCACCCTCACAATACGAAAGTATTTTGTGGAAAACAGTGATTGGTTGCGTCAGAGGCAATTTGTGAACAAAAGATATTTGTAGATGACATAAAAATCTCGTTGTGGTAGAATGATTGTTTTATGAAAATAAACTGAGATACATATTCATATTTGCAGACTAAGATCAAAAGAGTCAGAATGTGAGCCAGAAGTATATAAGATATTTTGTTGTTCTTTGTTTAGAATTTTTTACGCAAAAGTTACATAAAGGCTATTTCTGCATAGTTGTTCCTATATTTGATTGAACTGTTAAACTAGAGGAAAGACCGCTAATCAATTACGCCCATCACCAAGTGTTACGCTACTCTTATTTGATCAGCTATTTGGATTAGGCTAGCACGGCTGCAAAGTGCAGAGCACGTTTTTTGCTTGAACAGGAAACGAAATATGAACTTTTGAATCCACAGTCCAAGTACTCTATCCACTACCCTCGTTCTGCCTCAAAGACATATTTTCTTGTTTGTTTTTTGAAAATATATTTGTTTATCTTAAGGAATAATGTTGTGCAGTCTTTCTGTGAGTGTATGCCGTTCCATTTTGTTTATTTGTTTGGTGTTGTTCTTTGGAGGGGAAGGGTTTGCGTCAAATCAATAAAATTTATTTAATTCTTCCAACTAGCCCCCCAATGGCACAGCGGCAGGTCTGCGGATTTACAACGCTAGAAACCGGGTTTCGATACCCTTGGTGGGCAGAGCACAGATAGCCCATTGTGTAACTTTGTGCTTAACTACAAACAGAAAAAACAAACAAATCTTCCAAATATCCAATCAGGTTTTTATAATATTTTTAAAGGATTCTTTCAAGAATTACATGCATAAATAGTTGGTAATCGGCAATTATTAATATATTGAATCTGTAGGAATATTACCATATTATCAACTAAAGGTTTTTATATTCACAAATGTTTCGCCATTTGATAAACATCACTACGTTTCGAAACGTCGTATAATATTTAATTATATTTTTTCCAGTGTCTCTTATAGATTTTTTATCTACTGACTCTGTATCTGGACAATGTCCTGGCAGCATTTTTTTTTCATTAAAAGCAATTATAACTGTTGTTCTCTCCTTCTGAAAGCTTTTCGGAGTCTGTTAGTCATATATATATATAGTTGCTTGATTTTCAGTTTTATTCGGTACTCAAGCGTTATATATTACTATTCATATATCAAGCAATTTTGGAGGCATCTATGAAGATCAAACCGATTTCATTGAAGTCTGACTTTGTATCCTTTGCAAATATGTTACACTATGTTATTGTTTTTCCTAATGACAGATGACTCGTAGACACGTTGAGAAAAAAAAAGTAGGATGATTTTTTGAAACACTTCATGTGTTCTATAGTTAACAAATTTTCTATACTACTACTACTTCTTCTTGCGTGTCGAAGTGTTATTCTAACTCGAATTGCAAAATCTAAATACAGAAGACTAAGATACATAATCTTGCACTTGTTATACTCGAGTATCACAGTATTATCCAAATATTTGTAAGCCTATTTAAACGTTAACTCCAGTTACTCTGATATATTTTGGAAAAAAGTACCAATATTGTATTTCCTCTTTGAACAATCTGTATTTACGTAATTCACACTTATCAAACAATGGTACAGTGAGCCCACCTACCGGCTAAATTTGAAACTCTTACTTAGAAAGGTTAATCAACAATTATTTATGCTACAAACCAACAGTATTCTCATAAATATTATCGCAAGAAACAATTTTTAACAAAACAGTATAAAATTCATGTTGTGATATTGTTTAGCTTGATGTACATCACTGTTGAAAAAAAAATATCTTCTATTAGATTGTTGTTGTTTGTTACGGATTTCGCGCAAAGCTACATGAGGGCTATCTGCGCTAGCCGTCCCTAATTTAGCAGTGTAAGACTAGTCATCACCACCCACCGCCAGCTCTTGGGCTACTCTTTTTTACCAATGAATAGTGGGATTGATCGTCACATTATAACGCCCCCACGGCTGAAAGGGCGAGCATGTTTGGTGTGACGGGGATTCGAACCCGCGACCCACAGATTGCAAGTCGAGCGCCATGACCACCTGGCCATGCCGGGCCCTTCTATTAGAATTAATTTTAAGTTTTATTGTTAGAATGTGGCAGTGGCATTTCATCGTGCATTCAATTTATTCCATGAAAATAACGAATTTTTTAAAACATTACATTTGCATTAGAAGAAGCTTTTTCGGAATAACGTTTCTAAGCAAGGACGCAAAGAGATTCATGTTTTATCCCATGAAATGAATTTTGTTATGATATAATTTTTCCTTTTTCACCTGACAGCTCTGTATTGTGTATCGGAATAAAATTAATTTTCCCCCAAAAGGACGTAATATATTCTTCTATCTAGAAATTCATCATTTTCAGTTCCATACAAAACACAATGATAGATGGGTAATATTTGAAAAGTTGTTTACAATTTTAAGATATAATTATTCATTATCAACGCGACCAACCTAATCATGACATTGTACTAAAATTATAGACCTTGCATTTATTGATCCAGAGTCGCATGCTGTTGATATATATACACACACAGCTATATATATACTTCTAAAACTTTAATGATATTTGCATTGAAGTACAAAATAAGATATTTGACATTCAATAAGCCGAACCCTCTTCACAAAGAACAGGATTTTCTTCTTCAGAGATAAACTGGAAAACAACATCCAATAACTTCCTCAAAACAAAAGGTTTATATAACTAGCTTTAAAATTTATATATTCTCTAACATACACAGCGATGTTCAAGAAAACCAAAGAAAAAAGTGATCTTTATCTTTTTAGATAGATTGTTTGTTTGTTATGAATTTCGCGCAAAGCTACACGAGGGCTATCTGCGCTAGCCGTCCCTAATTTAGCAGTGGGGGAAGGCAGCTAGTCATCACCACCCACTGCCAACTCTTGGGCTACTCTTTTACCAACGAATAGTGGGATTGAACGTCACATTATAATGCCCACACGGCTGAAAGGGCAAGCATGTTTGGTGTGACGGGGATTCGAACCTGCGACCTGCAGATCGCGAGTCGAGCTCCCTAACCACTTGGCCATGCCGGGCTCTTTTTTTTAGATCGAAGCAAATAGAAAAAAAAAAATAAAGTTTTCGATATGGCATTTGAGCTTTTATTGGTGCCACACAAATGATATGTCTATTCAAACAAATTATCAATAAGTTTGTTTTTAGGCAACTGGAAAAATGCGTGTGTTTAAAATATATGTATTGGAACGTATAAAAAATGTACCCGAAAATCATCCTTGCGAGCAACTTTCAGTTTCTACAAACAGTTTAGATCGATAGTTGTATAATGCTGTTGTCAAGGGAGGTATTATTAATCATTGAAATCAGATAGATTTTAAATATCAAAATACTTCCAATAGCTTGTTTGTTTGTTTTTTTATTTATGCACAAAGCTACACAAGGGCTATCTGTGCTCTGCCCACCACGAGTATCG